GGCCCGTGCATTGCGGTCGTACCAGACCTTCTGCTGCCTCTGGGCCCTGCTCAGGTTCTCTCTGGCCAGGCCCATGAGCTCGGCAAGTCTTTCCTGGAATGTCAGGACATATTCCACGACCGGCTCACCCTCCGGGGAGACCTTCCCCTCCCACTCGTCTTTCAGTAAGTCCAGGGGGCCCCTCACTCGCCTCCCATATAACAGCTCAAATGGGGAGAACCCCGTGGACTCCTGGGGCACTTCCCTGTACGCAAACAGCAGGTGGGGTAGGTACTTGTCCCAGTCCTGCCGGTGTTTGTGCATAAAGGTCCGTAGCATCTGCTTCAGAGTCCCATTGAACCTCTCCACCAACCCGTTGGTCTGGGGGTGCTACGCCGAGGCCCAGGGGTGCTGGACCCCGCACTTCCCCACAAGCACCGGAGCAGGGTCAACATGAAGTTAGACCTCTGGTCCATGAGGACCTCCTGGGAGAACCCCACCTGCTGAAAAGGGCCAGCAGTGCATCTCCTACTGTGTCTGCCTCGATAGAGGGCAGGGCCACGGCCTCGGGGTAGTGGGTGGCAAAATCCACCCCCACCAGGACGTGTTTCTTCCCCATCTGGATCACTCAGCTAAAGGGCCCCACAACATCCATCGCCACCCTCAGGAAAGGCTCCTCTACGATGGGCAGGGGCCTCAAAGCAGCTTTCCTCCTATCCTGGGCCTTCCCCCCCCCGCTGGCAGGAGTCGTAGGACCGGCAGTACTGCTGCACGGCTGCAAATACCCCCGGCCAGTAGAAGTTTTGGAGCAGCCTCAACCGGATGCGCCAGATCCCCTGGTGTCCCGAGAAGGGGATGTCATGGGCCAGGTACAGCAGCTTGCGCCGATACTTTTGGGGAACCACCAGCTGTCGCTGGAGCCCCTATACCCCCATCTTCCCTAGGGGGAGCCATTCCCAGTACAGGAATCCCTGCTCCCACAGGAACTTCTGCTGACAATCTCCACCTAGGGGCTGAGCTGTTCCCAGATCAATCTCCAGCTGCCGCAGCTGGCCAGGCTGGGCCCCGCCCCGGAAGGACCGGGGCCGGGACGG